ATACGTCTGAATTTCAGGACGAAAGTGGCAATCTCAGTCTGGCGAAGTGTGAAGCGGTGCAGGGCGGCACATCTTTCATCGAGTCGCTTCCGGAGGTCAAGAATCGGAGCTACAACAGAGAACTGGGAAAAGACAGACACAACATTGAGCTCTGGCTCAAATTCGTGGCCCATCAGGTTTGTATACATTTACATTTCATTCTATAGTGATGTCGAACTTGGCTCATTTTCACTTTTGTCGCAATACGCGATGGAGTAAAGCTGCAAAATAATGAACTGTGTTTTACGTAGATTAGGGCATAGCCTTGGCTGCAGTTGATCCAAAGTTAGAGAAAGGAGGAGTGGGAAAACAGAGAGAAATAGAAGCTCATGTTAGGTCTTTCAAATCGCATTACGTCGCAGATCGAGTGATCAGAATTTTGAGTGTCCAGTTTTTTTCTTGAATTTCCTGCTTTTTTCCTCTCTCTCTTTGTAGCTATCAGGTTTTGACTCGAAATCGTAATTTTGGGCTTGTTCACATGAGTGTTGCTTCCTGATGTAATTCCAACTTTCTGTATTACTGCTTTCGATTATTTGTTTTTACCACTAGCTGCATATGTAGACAAGCATGGTTCCTTACACTTGCGATTTTACCTCACGGACGCCATCCGATAATGCATTAAATCTCTCACTTATGTATTTTAAAGTGTTTCGCTGAATACCGCTCCAATAAGAAAGTAGCAAAGCATTCATTGCTTTACCACTACAGAATATGCTTTCTTTTCTTGCGTGGCACGCTACAGAAATGGTTTTTCAGGACGAAATGTTTCTATCTCTGGAAGGCGGCGATAACTCCAAAAAAACAAGAGCTGAACGGCTTACGAGTCGCCAATTGTTCGAACGGAAAATGAGTATTCTGGATAAGGTTAAATGTTGTTGCGAAAGAGGAATATTGCTGGGAGGAGAAAGTGGGATGTGGGGTTGTCTGCAAAAGCAAAGGGGGTTATTTTTTTTAAGTTTAGGCAATATCTCTGAACTACTCGTGCGTGCGTCTGAAAATCGAGCGACTGAAGATTGGGATGCATCTGTGGGATGAGGATAAATGGAATGTCGAGCTTAGAGAGGTTACATAATTTGAATCGCTTTTTGTTTTTGTTTCGCCCTTACTACAGTGTTATTGGCTGAAATACGCCTGTTTGCATATTAATTCCTTCTTTTATGTTACAAAAAACTGCGTATTAAGGTGGAATTTAAACATGTGAACGATCCGGAAATGTGGCAGGGAGTGCTTGATGTTCTGGAAAGTGACACCCGACGCTTCAATTTTGTTGCACAGGTATGCGATTAAAGTTGTAGGAATACGTACGCATTCATCGAGTAGATTGCTCTCGTATGTGTAGACGAGACCGAGTGAAAAATGATGTGGGAAAA